AAAGACCTTTGGTCCCGAGGGTCCGTTTGGGTAGGCTGTGGGCAGGACACTCAGGCTGAGATGGGGCTCAGGAGGAAAGGCAAGGGCTGGGTGTTCCGTTATTTGTCCCTCCAACTTTCCTCCCTCAGGAATTCACCGTTCTGGTGGAAACAGTTTGGTTTTGCTAGTTTAAGCATCACAGAACTGGCATTAGAAATAGCATGTATTCAAAGTTGTAAGGGGAAATCTCAAGTGGAAATTCCTCCTCTTTTTTCGATTTTTGTGCAGCATTTTCAACTCTTTGAGCTCAAATGATGAGATGAAGTTGAACACCCTTTAGAGAATGAATATAATCAGACAATGGATATAATTGTAGCATTTTAATTTCATGTAAGTCCGCTGTTAGTTGGAATATACAGCAAAAATGTGAGGGTGCTGACTCTGGCTTAAGACCTGGGGGGTTCTTTTTTTATGTGTTCTATGTAGCGAGCACCTTGTAGTAAACAGGTGAAATGAACTGCATCTGTGCCTAACATTAAATAGTAAGAACGAGCTCGTCCCTCGTGGCAGAAGGCATAATCCTGTGCTCCATGATGAACATGTTTATGGGGCAGGGCAGGTGGCCGGTGTTTTCTGTTGCCTGGCATTCGAAGGCAGCGGTAAAATGTACATCAATGAATCATTGTTTTTGTTTTCCTCTCTGCCTGAATGGCTCTGTTAATTAAAACTTTGTGTAAAGTGGTCTTCAAGCTCTGTACTCAATTTCATGTGGGCTGGTTAGGGTTGGTTATGCACAGCCCCACAAATCCTTTATCTTGCTGGACCACTTTTGAATGAATAATTATCATATTTCACATGTAACCATACAGAGTAGTTTTTTATGCTCTATAATCATTAGCAAGCTCTCCGGTCAACCTGGTGAGATGTTAGAGCCCCTTAGCCTCTTTAGTGATTGAGCAGGCTGAGCCGAGGGCAGGAGGGGCCCCAGGGCAAAGAGAACAGGGTGGTTGAAAAAGCACATCCCGGGAGCCCAGGAGGATGAGGGGAGAAAGCGATGGACTTACTTATTCTATGCCAAGGGCACTGACATTCACTAAATGCATTGAGAAGCTGGGAATCATTGCCCCACCTAAAATTTTTTCTTCTTTAATAGAACTAGAAAAAAAAATGCACATCACTTGCAGATTATCGTGACTTGCTGTAGTCTCGTTTTTTTCGTGTTATTCTCTGAGAGAACATGATTCCTTAGAGGAGAAGAATAGGATGTGTGTTGGTGGAGGTAAGGACTTGGTGGTTTGCATTAAAAGGAGGTAGTCAGCAATGATGACGATGTGCCTCTGCCTGCAGGGATCTCACGGGAGGTCTCTGCCTTGATTCCTTGGCATCCAGCCCATCTGGTCATGGTTAGAAACATCTCCGTTTTATTGTTTGCTGAAATTGTCCCACAATGAAGTAGGTGGACGGGTGGTGTTACATCAGATGACTTTAGAAGATGTATAGATTTTTTGAAATGTTTTTATGTGATAGCTCTTTCATGTAGTTTAAAGAAAAGACACAGGCATATCAAATAAGTTAACGTGGTAGTATAAGGTTTCACTTTGAGAAAGATTTGTAGAGAAAGACTTCAGTGAGTTCCCAAACTGGACACAAGCATGCTTTCTTTTGTGCTGCAACAGTATTTTTTAACTTGAAAGTGCACACATATAATTAGAAAAATCAAGTGTGTAAAGGTATATGAAAAAATTCTCGTGCTGTCTCTTCTTTCCATATCCAGTCCCTTGAGCCCACTTTCAATACTTCTAGTGGTTTCTTCTTGAAGCTCTCAAATAATACTAAAAATTGCCTATATTGTGACTTTTTTTTTGACTTACCAATTTTCCTAAGTAAAAAATATTAATAGCACTTTCTGGGGTGGTAGATAAGTGGTTCTCAAAGGGCTTTGAGTGGGCAGTTTTGCCTTTCAGGGTTGGTGGTGGGAGACACTTCTGTTTGTCTTGATTCAGGGAAAGGTGTGTGCTACTGGCCTCTGGTTGCTACTGGCAGGGATGCTGCTGACCACCCCATTGTGCACAGGACAGCCTGCACAAGGAAGAATTCTCTGCCCCAAATGTCACACTGCTGAGGTTGAGAAGCTCTGTGGTAAATGAAGATTTGGTTATCTTAGTTTTCCTCCCCCAATCTATACACATAGTTAAATTGCTACTTTATTTAAGTGAATACTTAGTTGTTACATTGCTATTGTGTATATATTGTTAATGGTGGCACCAATTAGTGACTGTGATTACATTTCTTTCATTGTATGGCTTTTTAGTTTTCCTGGAGTTATTAATAGCCTGATTTTCAATTGTGCCATTTGCAATCCACATATTAAAAACTCTTCTCCAGTTATTTCTGATATCAAAAGCTTTTCTTGAGTCTCTTTTCTCTAGATTCTTTATTTCTAAAGCTCTTTGTTGTCTTGTTTCAAACCAATTGCTCTTGAGAGCTAAGGCTCAGCTGTCACCTTGGAATTCTTCTCTATCCCCGTTTAAGGTAGGATTTGTTGTTTCCTGGATTCCGTGGCTTTACCTTTTATCTTTTTTTTTTCACTTGTTTTGCTGCAGCAGACGTTTCCTAAGAAAGAACACGCTGTGGAGGTACATTTTGAGTCTTTGCATGTATGGCAATCTCTCTTCTCTAACCTCACACTTGACTGACAGCTTGTTTGGGTATAGAACCTTAAGTTGGAAATAATAGTCAATCAGAATTTTAAAGACATTCTGTTGGCTTCCAAGATTGTTGCTGAGAAGTCTGATGCTCTAACCCATTCTTTTCCTTTTTAAAATTCCACCTCTTCTTTCTAACGGTTATGGGAAGTATTTAGGGCCTTCTCTTTATCATTCACCTTCTCAAATCTCATGGTACTCTTTGCCTAGGTCTGTTCTCCTCTATGTTGCAGAGCACTCATGAGATCCTTTAATCTAGAACATGTTCTTATGTTTTTCTGACAATTTTCAATTTATTGTGATTCTGGGCAGTTTAAAAACTCTAACAAAACAGAAGTAAAGGAATTTCTGATATTTTCGTTGTTTATGTCAACATGAAGGTCTACTGATATATATAGGAATTTTTGTTTTTAAATATTTGGTGGCCCAGATGAGAATTCCCGAAGAGTTTACGCGTAGTATGCTTGTTGGTTTTTATATTAATTTTATTAATTAACTTGACCGATAATAACTCTTTCTGTAGTTGGCTGGGAATCAGTCAACTGATTGTTATTATTCTCTTTCTGGAAACCTTACTGGTAAAAGTTCGACCTCCTGGATTGATAGTCTCTTTTTTTTCTTTAATATTTTCTAGCACTTTGGGAGATTTCTTTTATCATCCAAATCTGCCATTAAAATTTTTATTTCAGCAACTATCTTTTGCATTCACAGGAGTTATTTTTGTCCTTCATTAGCCTTTTTAGCATCTTGTTCTTGACTTTTACATGCTTTCTGAAGATACTTGTTAAACTTATTGCTTTTTTCTTTTTTTTCCTTGTTTGGTCCCCTGGATGATCTCTCTGTCTTCTGGGTTTTATCGTTACGTTCTCTTACTCTTCCGTGTTAGAGGTTTTTAAAATGAAGCTGTACCCCGTGGTTGACTGCTTTTGGAGCACAGTCTTGACAGGTTGGGGGAAGTCAGTGGTGAGCTCACTCCAGGCTAGCTGCAAGGGAGCCGAACACATTTTGTTGTAGAAGCTCCTAATGTCAAACATGGTCTTTGCTCTTGGGTTGTAGTTTTCTACCAAAATATTTCCAGCCTCCTGCCTAGGTTGAGAGTGGCGTGGGGTAGCATCCAGCTACCTGCTTAATGCATTGGATCTGGGGAGGGGTATCCACAGGCGGACTAATTTATTTTCAATATAATAGCACTTGGCTATTATGACCTCTGCCTGCTGCATGTGAGTCCTGAGCTCCCTCATTAAACATCTCTAGAAAATAAACTTCAGTCTCCTGCCTAGATGTCTTTCCCTCACAGATCCCTTGCACAAAATTCTAAATCTTATTAAATTCCAGCTTGAACTAACATTATGCATGCCTGTTCTGGTATTCCCCGTCAGACGGAGAGTCCTGGAAGGCCTCGATCTTACTCATGCTTGGGCCGAACAGCTGTCAGGAACTTTGCAGGCGCTCAGAACATGTTTGCTAAATGGAAATAAATTGAATTTTGGCCATACAGATGGTTTTTCAGCTCCAAGTTCTAGGATAAAGCCTCACTTGCTTTTTATCCTTCCTTTCACTCCTGCTGGTTCATATGGACACAGGATACTAGCAAGCCTTTTAATAAAACCTAAGTTAATTCAATTTATCATCTTATTCTGTGATTCTGAGCAGGTCAATGACTCTTTTTAACAAAATAGAAGTAAAGAAATTTCTGATATTTTGATTGTGTATGTCAACATGAAGGTCTACTGATATAGAGGAGTTTTTGGTTTTGAATATTTGATGGCCAAGATGCGAATTCCTTAAGAGTTTACTCTGTGTAGCATGCTTGTTGGTTTTTATATTGATTTTTATTAATTAATTTGACCTATAATAACTCTTTCTGTCATTGGCTGGACATCAGTCTCGTCTTGATAATTAAGGATATGTTCAGTGCATGCCCAGATACTGACCTGTTCCCTCAATTCTGTCCCTTGCTATCATCTGTCTAACCTGGATAATTAGCCCTAAGTGCATTTCTCGTGGCAAATTCAGGAACATGATGGTCTACTCAAGGAGTCATGAAAGCTTCACGTCAATGGCTGTGTTGTATCGTTGCATTGTTCTATACCAGGAAATTTGGTTGCAGGGAAAGAAAAATCTCAGGCTGTGAGGACCATGAGTTCAGTTTCAAATCTGTCCTTCACTCAGCCCTCAGCGTTCTGAACTGGAAAATGGCAGCAGAATTCCTGCCTCTCCGTGGCTCTTAGGCATCAAGGAAGGTGAGGGAGGCAGACAGACAAACTTGCGAGTCATTCTTTGGTGACAGAAGACTGTGTCTGCTTCTTCCTGCAGCTTGGAAATGACCCGCCACACCTGAAGCCTGCAGGTGCTGAGGCCACATTCGACCAGACCCAAGCTTTGGGAGACCCCTGGGGAAATTTCCCACTTCCTGTCCTGAGACCAGGAACTCAGCAGAGAAACTTTGTGGTAAGTCGTCCTTTCTTTTCTCAGAAGCAGTATTCCTCTCTGTCGGTTAGGAGCTGTGTCTGTTCTTTCACAGTTTGCTGATTTATTCGAGACCTATTTATCGGGTGCCAAGTGTATGTCCCCTAGTTAAGAGGAAGGAGTGGTAAACAGAGCAGATGTGGTCCTTACCCTCACAGAGAGAGGAACATCATGGGGAACAGCTGTGCAAAGGCCCTGAGGCAAGAAAGAACTTGATGCCTGAAAATCTGGGTGTCTGGAGCACAGATGGGACAGGTAGACAGGGCAGTTCATTCAGGACCTTAGGGCTGGCTGTGCTAGGGTATTGATTCTAAATCTGAAGAACAATGGCCAGAGAGTAGTGATTGATTTTAGGTGGAGAGTGACGTGATCCAATTTTTATTTTAATAAGATCACTCCCAGTTCTGAACGGAGGTGGAGGTAAGCATGGAGCAAAGAGGATTAGGCAGCGACCATGTAGTCCACATGACTGGCAAGGGTGGCCTACAGGCCTGCACCAGGATGGTAGTGGACGTGAGGGTCATTGGAGAGGTCCTGGATGTATCTGGGCAGCAGGACCTGCTAGCCATTGTGATAGACTGGGCTGAGAGGGAGTGTAAGGGGGTGACAAGAATGGCCTTCATATTTTTGGTCTGGGGCACATGGCGGAAGGGGAAGACCATTTCCTAAGATGAAAAAGACTGAGAGAGCAGTAGAAGTGTGGGGAGATTCATATCCAGGTTTGCGCTGAAGCCCGGTTTTGAGTTTGAGTTACCTGACTGACACCTAAATACAGGGGAAAATCCACAGTTCGACGGTCCGTTTCAGTGTTCAAGAGAGAACTCTAGGCTGGTTTCTTCATTCCTTGTGAAATGTTTGGTTTGAGATCTCCTGTGCAGAGGTGTGATCTGAACTCAGGGCAATAGTTCACCCCGTGTAATCATGAGACAATCTTGGGTAGTAAGAATAACAGCTGCTGTTATCAAAGATTTTCAACTCTGACATGGCCGGCTCGGCACTGGTGGCACTGACTGTTCCACCTGCATTTGATCGTGCAGCAGAAGGTGAACCAGCTGGACCTTTGGTGCCCCTGCTTGGGCTTGGCAGATGAGTCTGAGTCTCAGATTCCAGTAAGCTTGGTGGTGGTGGAGGAGATGGTGATGATGTTGGCAGTAGTTGTGGTGATGGAGGAGATGGTGATGATGCTGGTGCTAGATGTGGTGATCGAGGAGATGGTGATGCTGGTGTTGTGGTGGTGGAGGAGATGGTGATGATTTTGGTGGTAGTCATGGTGATGGAGGAGATAGATGGTGGTGATGCTGGTGGTAGTCGTGATGGAGGAGATGGGTAGTTGTAGTGATGGAGCAGATGGTGGTGATGCTGGCGGTAGTCGTGACGGAGGAGATGGTGATGATTTTGGTGGTAGTCATGGTGATGGAGAAGATGGTGGTGATGCTGGTGGTAGTCGTGGTGACAGGAGATGTGATGATGCGGTAGTTGTGGTGGAGGAGATGGTGATTTTGGTGGTAGTCATGGTGATGGAGAAGATGGTGGTGATGCTGGCGGTAGTCATGGTGATGGAGGAGATGTGATGATGTGGTAGTTGTGATGGAGGAGATGGTGATGATTTTGGCAGTCATGGTGAGGGAGGATGGTGATGATTTTGGTGGTAGTTGTGGTGATGGAGGAGATGGTGTCCATGCTGGTGGTAGTTGTGGTGATGGAGGAGATGGTGTCGATGCTGGTGATAGTTGTGGCGATGGAGGAGATGGTGGTGATGCCGGTGGTAGTTGTGGTGATGGAGGAGATGGTGGTGATGCCGGTGGTAGTTGTGGTGATGGAGGAGATGGTGGTGATGCCGGTGGTAGTTGTGGTGATGGAGGAGATGGTGGTGATGCCGGCGGTAGTTGTGGTGATGGAGGAGATGGTGGTGATGTCAGTAGTCATGGTGATGGAGGACATGATGGTGATGCTGGTGGTAGTCATGGAGATGGAAGAGATGGTGATGATTTTGGTGGTGGTAGTCATGGCAACAGAGGAGATGGTGATGATGCCAGCGGTAGTCGTGGCAACAGAGGAGCTGATGGTGATGCTGGCTGTAGTCATCGTGATAATGGTGGTAATGGATCTGGCCAGTATGTGTTCAGTAGATCTAAATCCACACCCAGTCCTCTGATTCCTATTTTATGCATTCATTTTCCATAGAAGAAGGCAGAGAAGGTCTGATGTGAAACTTAACTGTTTCCAATGCAGGATATACACTCGGCAATCATTTGTTTCTCATTACAATAGAACCACTAATTATCACTTAATAGTAAAGGCAGCCTCATTGGAGGTGGGTCAGATTCCTGAAAAATATTTCAAAGCCCTTTTGTTTTCATTATTAACATAATGGTATCAGTTTCTTCAATGAATATAATTTATGACAATATCTTTATCTGTATGCCCTAAAAAGACAAATTGTATCATGAACACTTTCAAAGAGTGTGTTTCAACTGAGTGCTGTGGGTTATTATTTGTAATTTTTTTCCAGTGCATTTATGACTCTTGGCCTATGGGATGCAGAAGCCAATCTGTTCTCTGAGGGGTCACAAGCAGATTATTTTGAGGGCTTATTACTTTTTTGATATTTTTAAATTTTGGTCATTCTGGGGCTGGAAGCTAGAGTGGAGTGATGTATGTGTGTATGAGTCTTTCCTATATTTGGAATGAGCTGGTCTTTTTTTGATAGATTGTTGGCTGCTTGGAATTGCAGATGCATCATTAAGCTATTGCATTTAAATTTAGCTCTTGTTCTCACTCTAGAAGGGAATGGAATGTTTGAATTATTTCCCCGTGAAGGGAGGGCGATTAGAAAATAGGTCCTCATGACTGTGAAAGAGTGGGTCTAGTTCGTGAGTCTGAGATGGGCTGCATGTTTGACTTGGAAGAGGAGGCTCTCTGAGAGTAGCTCCAGTCTGGAGGAAGTTAGAGCTGCCTGAAGGACACCTCAGTGGCTGCTACATTTTAGTCTCTCCAAAGGCAGCATTTCCTGTCTAAATCCACAATGACCATTCTCAACAGCTCCGTCGTTTCCCTCCATCCAGACAGGTCTCAACGCCCCTCTATGTCAATAAAACATATTAAGATGTGTATTCACAGATCCAAGTTGGAAAAGTTAACAACTTTCACAGGAGCTGAGTATGTGTGAGCAGCTTTAAAGTTATGCTCATTTCAAAATCGCTGCAAGAGAATAATTTGAACATGCCTAGCATAAAAAGATTAATGTTTAATGTAATAGATATCCTAATTACCCTGATTTGACTTTCACACATTATATGGGTGTATCAAAATATCACATGTACCTCAATAATATATCCACCTATTATGTATCAATTTAAGAAACCCAGATACATCAACTGGCGTGGTGGCTCACATCTGTAATCTCAGGACTTTGGGAGGCTAAGATGGGCGAATCACGAGGTCAGGAGCTTGAGACCAGCCTGGCCAACATGGTGAAATCCCGGCTCTACTAAAAACACAAAAATTAGCTGGGCATGGAGTCGTGCACCTGTAATCCCAACTACTCGGGAGGCTGAGGCAGGAGAATTGCTTGAACTCAGGAGGCAGAGGTTGCAGTGAGCTGAGATAGCACCACTGCACTCAATTCTGGGCAACAGAGCCAAGACTCTGTCTCAAAGAAACCCAAATATAATCCTAGTTAAAGTGAATTAAATCAGTACAGTAAAGTAAAAAACAAAATTATTTTACCTTGTTAGATTTGAAGGGTAGCAGATGCTCACCGAAAAAGTCACATCTCACAGAGATGTATAAAGTAAAACATTAAAGTCCCCCGATAAATAGTTCCCGTTCCTAATTCCCATTGGCGATCATTATTAAGAGTTTGGTATTTCTTTTCAGAATTCAGACCTTTTCCCATGCATCCACAAACATACACACACACACGCAATGTCTTGATGTAAAACAGAGGCAGGTGCATCGATAAAAGTGGACGTGGATACACAATTCTATGTGTGCATGTCCAAGTACACACATAATCTGCCCTGCAACTTTTTTCATTACTTCCGTACTAAATTTATATATTTAATTTGTAAAATCTCATGTATCTTGACTCTTCTACCAAGCTAACCACTGTCATCAATTTGGTCCTTCCAAACATACGTGAAACTCTATCCTAGAATTTTGTATGTGCTTTAAACAAAACTATATTTTTCTGCAGATTCGTATTTTCCATTTCCAGAACATTTCTTAGAGACCTTTGCCTGTTATTTCCTATGAGTACATTGGCACCCAACCTCAGCCTTGTAAATCGCTGTGTATCACCCAGCAGTGTAGCTATCCTGAGTGTCTCAGCCTGGGCTCTCTCAGAGCAAGCCCAGGGTAAGGATTCCAGTAAAAGTGACTCACGGGGCGGTGAAATTTTGGGAGGGGAGTATGGAAGTGAGACAGGGAAGGGCAGGAAGTCGGTAATAGGTGTGTGTTATCCAGCCAGTTGCCACTGTGGGTGATGGGGGCTCAGTCCTGCTGTGGAACCTCTGGGAGATTTTGCAATGTACGCTGTGGGATTATCTGCTTGAGGGATGAGGGAGCTGGGGTATTGATCTACCAGTACTCTTCACTTGGCTGAGGCAGCCTTGCAGGTGCATAGAGGCTCCAGCATGTCTTGCTTGCCCTGCATGTAGGCCAGGCTTGGGTCTCAGCTAGACTGAGCCCCCAGGCACAGAAATGCAGGTGTTGGTGGTAACCAGGTTGGTGTGCAAGGAGTTGAGTGCTCAGAGGTTATGGGAGGCGGCTGATGCCTGCTGAAGGCACTTACTGCTGTTGATGAACAATTGTGCACTACGTAGATGCACACACAGATGACAACAGTGAACTAACTGTCCCCTAACCATGCCTAATATCAGCACTACTGCAGGGAACACATTTGTCCATGCCACCTGTGTACATTACTCTAGAATCTGTGCAAATGTGCTTCTACTTCAGGGGGTGGGGGTAAGGGGAGG